TGACGTCCCCGGCAGGGAGCGGGTGGCAGGTGCAGCTGCAGGTTGGGTCTGTGCTGGCCCCAGAATCTTCAGCCGCCAGGCTGCCCCGGACAGAAGCAGAGATTGGGTTGAAAAGGCAAAGGAAGCCAACCAGGAGGGAACTGAGCAGGAAAACCGGTCAAAGGCCACCTTGGGCCAAGGGTTAGTCCTGCCATGGTCCCCATGGCCGTGGTCCCTCAACTCACTGGCTGTGCATTGCTGCTTTAGGAAACTTAACACTTAAATTGATTTTTACTCCCATCCCATTTACTTTTATTCCTTTTTTAAAAAAAATTTCTAATGACTTTAAACTCAAACACATCATAGAACATTTCTTTCCTGGATGCCTGCATTGAAAATTTGAGAAGTAACGTTTCTGTTTAGATATGCCTTTTCATATATTTTCATAATGTTTTGGGGAATTATATATTTTTTACCCAGTTAGGTTTCCCCAAATAAAAATGCCACATTACATCAATGCATTTGAATCAAATATATGTAAAATTATGTACACATGAATATTTCTGTGTGGGGGGAAGGGAAAAGGGGAGAGAGAGAGAAAGAAAGAAGAAAGAACTATCTGGAAGCACTCAAGTGTGTGATTTAGCCTGTACTCATGTGACACCTGGAAACATTTAGATGACTTCACCTTTTTTAGTCAAAGATTTGATAGGTTGAAACAAGTACGTGTTCTTCTGGTTACTGTTATAACCAATGCTTGAGGGCTAACCATAAATAACAAAATGTCTTATTATTTTTCATGCATGCAGAGCAGCCAGCAAGCTGTTGGAACACAGGGCTCACGTTTTGAAGCGTCAGGTCACGGATGTTTGCCGAGACTGCTCTCAGCCAGTCGGCGCTGTCCTGGGCTGTGTAAAACTGAAGGATCCCTGTGCTGACTCCGTCCAGCGCCAGCACCTCGAATGCAGTCGACCTGCGGGTAGGAGGATGGGGGACACTGTCTGAAGAGGTCCCCACAGGGAGGACAGCGGGGAACATCGTGTTCATTAGACTTGGTGGCAGGAGGCGCTTCCACTACAGGGTTGCTCAGTGTTGGACTATTACCCACTGTCAGAAACATAGTAAGCAATTGGTATCACATAACGCATGTGTTTCTGTATATTAAGTGGGTTTCCTGAAATAAAGATCAAAACTTTGAACTCTCTCACTAACATGAGTTATTTCTAATTCCATAAAAATATAAAAAGCAATTCGTACGGGAAAGAACACTTGCTGTTGTAGAAATTTTGGTTTTGCTTTGTTTTGTTTTGGGTGGGGCAGGGCTGTCCTCTAGACAGGCAGCAGCGGGCCCAGGGGCCCAAAACCACACAAGGGTGCCCTGGGAGGGCAGCGTGCAAGGAAAGGCCAGCCTCTGACTCTGCTGCCCTCTCTCCCACTTCCAGCACCATCTCTCACATTTTGGTCCCTATGCTGGAGCGTTACTGTGCAGATTTCCATCAGCACCTGCACTTTCCATCATTAAAAGTTAAGATCACCTGTAACTGGCTGCTAGGAAGGAAAGGAGGAAGAGGGAAGAAGGAAGAAATGAAGGAAAGAAAGACAGACTAGACCACAACAATGTGTCGACCTTTCAGAAGGAGAGAACCAACCTCAGGATATAGAGATGGGCGGAGGGGTGAGGGGGTGTGGGAAGTGATAGGTCGGGCAAAGGGCATCAAGAAATATCACAATTTAGGGGCCGGCCCGGTGGCGCACTGGATAAGTGCGCCGCTTGGGAAGCGCGGCGGCG